TAATAATAAAAAAAAGTATCAGCAAGTAAACTCTTCCCTGTTATGGGTTGAATTTCATCCCCCCACAACGTATGTTGACATTTACCACCGCTCGCGCCCCCCTCGCCCCCATGTCTCAGAACGTGACTGTTTTAAAACACTCCCGGGATTTGTTTTAATCTGGTATGGTGAGACGTGCAGGCATGGAAATGACTGTCGTCAAGGAAGTTTATCCTCACAGATTCTGAGAAAAAAGAGGCATGTCATGCCATAAGCTTCATTGTGGTTTCATGCACAGGAACGGGAGAGGCAAGGTAATCAGGCTGAGGATTGGTTTGGATTCTTTCAGGGACTCTGGGGCATAGGGGCTGTCCTCAGTTGTCTGGTACCTGGCCCCAGGTGATTAGGGCAGAATATGGCTGGAGTGTTGAGTCCAAAAGAGGGGGAGGGGGAAAATGAGCTCTGGATTGGTTAGCTGGCATAGAAAAAGCACATTCAGGTTTACTATCTTTAGGAATTGGTTAGCCCCAAGAAGTTAGTCTCTCAGGATCAGTAAAGCCCCAGATGTCAAAACAGCACAATAAAAGAAGACGGGCTCAACACAGTGATCTCAGTGGGGAATATGGCCCTTGCAGATGTCATTCATTAAGATAAGATCATGCTGGAGACACACTAGAATGTTCACGGCAGTAGCACTCTGGGTAATAGTCCAAAACTGAACCAACTCAAGTAGCCATCAACAGTAGAACAGTAAATAGATTGTGGTGTGTTTATACAATGGAATACTGCACTACGAGAGTGAATGAGCTGCTGAGTCACCCACCAAGGATGAATCTCTCAAGACCAGCCAAAGAAGCCAGACGCAAACGATTATATTTTGTTAGATTCCATTTGTATATGGTTCAAATGCAGCAACCCTAACTTGTGACGTCAGAAGCCAGGCAAGTGTTCATGTGGCATGGGGTGGATGGTAACCATGGTGGGTATGAGGAAGGGTTTCTGGGTTCTGATAATGTTGTATTTCTTGATCTAGGGGCTGATTACATGGCTACCTTCACTTGGCAAACATCCATTAGTCTGTGCACTTGTGATCTGTGCATATTTCTGCTGTGTACCAACAAAAAGTTCACTGAAATTAAAGTTATCCATAATCAATATCACCCTAAGATAAGCTAGTAAATTTTAGTTTAATGCCTTTCCTGTGTTCCACCCATTTTAAATAATGAATGCGCACACAGCCTGTTGCATTTCATATATCATGGACATCTCTCCCTGTCATTCAAAGGAGCTCCACACCATCAACTTTACGATTAGCTAAGCTGCTTCCAAAATTAAGGGGCTCCAGTTTACTCTTCCGGTAGTAGTGTTTAAAAGTGGGGAATGAGATTTTACAGCACAGGACACAGTTGTGGCTAAAGAGAAAAAAAGCAAAAAAGGCTAAGAAATGAAAAGGCACAAGATAAAGTGGAACACAAACAATCAAACTACATAATAAAAGACTTAGATATGCATTACACTGGACACCGAAAACAAAAGTACAACTATCTAAAGTTAGGTGATAAATTATAGTCAAGTTTTTAATCTGGAGTTAAAACCAAGATCTTACTAAATCAAAGCTGGGGGGGAAATGGAAGCAATAAAAATACAGAAACATTTTCAATTCACAGCTTTGATTTTAAAATTAAAGCAGGGACTCTGAAAAATAGTCTAAGATTCTGAAGGAGTAAAAAGATAACTACCTATGATAAGAATTCTGTACATTTGAAAATTTAAAAAAATTTTAAAACTTTGCACTGAACAGCTACTTCTAACTCATGTGTCTATTTTGTCATCTTTCCCCAAGGGAAACCTAATGTAGTATTTTTGGATTTATTACTTATTCAGAAACACAAGACATAGAAATAGTTTTCCACCCTCGAAGGATAAGGGTCTTCATTTCTAAAAATAGGGTAGGTTTTGAAAGATAATCAAAACCTCCCATTTTCTTTTTTGAGTCCCTCTTCCTCTCCAATCCCATATCAGTTGAAATCATACACACATTTTTTCCAGGTCTGCTTTTTCCTCCTTCTTCCAAATAGAAGAATTTTTGAGATAATGCTTTTAAAGTAACTCTACCTTTTTCTCCATTTCTTTTTATTTTGATATTAATCTATTAATGGGCATTTCCATGTAGCTACAACATACTAATTTAAGGTACTCAAAAGTTTTCTAAACTAAATTATCTTCTGTTTTCACTGATATAAATGAACAAAGAATGAAAGGTACAACTTTTTAAAAATCTAGGATACTGAATTAACCATAACACCAAATTCCTAACATATGCCAAGGAATTGGGAGTTTACTGTAATAGCAAAAGTATGTTTAACTGTGTAACTATAAATCAGCATCCTCAACACTTCACATCTATCTGCTTATTAGACAAACTGTGCCAACTAACGGAGACTGGAAAAGATATGATCTTAGCTTACTGGAGCATATCAGAGATACACGGGCAGATAAATGTTCAGTTATGTTAATATTTAAATGCCATAAATCAATAGTACTGTAATTTTAGGAAAGAATGAGCACTTCCCAAGGAACAAGGAGTATCTTCCCTCAACAGACACCAAGTATCCCAGTTCTTCTGCGGAAGCTCCTAACGACTCAGAAATGAATACACCAGGCTCAGGTAACTTGATGTCAATAAGTATTCAATTCCTTTAATTTCCAGATTTCCGACTCCTTCCCCACCAAGACCATATGACTTTGTCTGTTTACCAACAAAAACAAAACATTCTGGGTAGGCCAACACCAGTGCCCTGGAGCCTATAATTGTTATATTTTTCATCACATGAATATGATTTTGCTTCCTACGTAACTTGACTAGTGAACCTAACAACACAAGTATTCTGGTTTGGGGGACTGAGATTTCCTGTGTGATACCTTAGCAGGCATCCAGGCTTCAGCTATCATCTTCAAACTAAGTCTAACATGAGTGCAACCCTGAAGCATGGGTCCAACTCTCACCAATATGACACATCAAGAAATCCAAGTCTAAGAGGCTGAGACACAGGCCATGGACTACAACATTCTCAAAGGTAGCAATCACCATGCAGTAACAGCCTTCCCCAGGTTGGTACCGTCTTTTGTATTCCTGTGTAGACCAAGTAAACTGTTTTTACATCTTATAAATTTCTATACTAAAAGTCCATTATATTCTCTCAAAAGATTGATGATGTTAAATATGTGTGTGTGTGTGTGTGTGTGTGTGTATAATCTGTCCTCAGGTTCCTTATAAATAGGGGTGCTCAGATCATCCTTGGTTCTAATATTAACTGTCTTCGACCCCAGATTCTGACACTGAGCTCTTAGGACCTCCATCCATAATTTATCAAGTGTTAGGATGTCTGACACCAAGCTCCTAAGTCCCTTGAAATTTCCTGGGTGATAAGAACATCTTTCGTTTTAATGAGGTGACTTTGGGTGGGCCCTTGAATGGGGACTGATCACCAGAAAGATCTAGCCATGATGAGAAGCTCAGATTTTTCAGTCCCATCCCCCATTCTCCAGAGAGGCAAGTAGAGCTGGAAGTAGAGTTAATAATCCATACTGCCTTCATGATAAAGTCTCCATAAAAATCCCAAACGTACAGGATTTGA